TGCCTTTTCAGGATTAAGGACATAAAGCCCATCCTAACCTCTAGGGATAGAAGTAAGGTCAGGCTTCATGGTGCCCTGAGTTGGACAGGAGCTCTCTATCTATTCGGCCTGGCAATGCACTCAGTTGGGAGCATTTATTGACCAACTGCTGTTATCTTCTGCATCAAATTCACTACTTTTTTCCTCTTCCTTGCAGGTGGCTCCTGCACCTGCTCTGGCTCCTGCAAGTGCAAGGAGTGCAAATGCACCTCCTGCAAGAAGAGTGAGTGCGGGGCCATCTCCAGGAATCTGGGGCTGAGCCAAGTCAGAGGCAGGAACCCAGAGCTTAGCAGGCAGGAGTAGGCCAGCGGTCAATTTCCCATCTCCCCTTCCCCAACAACTGATTCCGGATCAGAGCCAGATCTTTAGACATGATTGATTCCCAAATTTCTTTCTTCAAATAGACAAACTAAGGCCAAGAGAGTGCACCAGCCTGCCAAGCACAGACATGACACCTAAGGACTTTCCTCACCTAAGTGTATGGTTCTGGGGAGCCAGCCTTCCTTTGCCCTTGATAACCCCAGTCACTGCCTCTCCAGCCTTCTGCCAGGTCTGGGGCTCAGATGTGGATAAGAAGCTTTTCACAGAAGACCCTCACTGGAAAGATCCGCCACTTATCGCCCATCTCCAACAGTGCATGCCATCCTGAACTAAGTGTCCTCTGGGGCTGGGGACAGAGCTTGAGCCAGGCCTGTTTGAGGGCAGGGAATTCCCTGGTCAAGTCTGGTCTGACCTCTCATTCTCTCTTCTTCCCCAGGCCGCTGCTCCTGCTGCCCCGTGAGCTGTGCCAGGTGTGCCCAGGGCTGTGTCTGTAAAAGGGCATCAGAGAAGTGCAGCTGCTGTGACTGATGTCGGGAAGGCCCTGCTGGAAGATGTAGAAAGAGCAACCTGCACAAACATGGAATTTTTTCCATACAACCCTGACCCATTTACTGTATTATTTTTTATGAAATATGTGAATGATAATAAAATTGTTGACTTAATGCTGGCTCTGGTTTTCTTTGTGTGCCTTGGAAATACATCTTGCTGGGAATATGCTGGTTTGAAGTAGTCAAGGAATGGAACTTGAAAGAGGAACAAACTCAGCCTGAACTTGGGAGGAATTTCCAAAGATTCAGAGCCAAGTTCCAACAGGGAGCTCTCAGGGTTCAGCGAGTATCCTGAGTGTGCTGTCTGTGACACTGGCTAGGCCAAGCCTGATGGTTCCTCATGAGAATGTCCTGGCCTGTGCTGCTGAAGGTGTGTGGTCCACAGTGGGACCAGTCTGCTATTTCCAGTCTGCAAGACAAATCATCCATGAACATATGTACAGAGTTAGTAAATCTTCCATTTTTCTGTTATTTGTGTATTTATTGAGTTTTTTTGTGTGTAAAATGTAACAAGTGGGTTCTATATTTTGTGTTTCGTTATCTTCATAATTAATATTACTTTGTTTACAAAGGTTTAGATCTGGGATGGATAGAAAATGAAAACTGTCTCTTCGCCATGGAGTTTGAGAAGCCCCGTGTAGGATTCAAGCAACTCAGGCATTGGAATCCACCCACTGTGGTCACTTTCAAGCCTAAAATCTGCTGAGGAACTGAACTTGGTCAGGGAAACCTGAGAATAAACATGAGGAATGGAGAAGTCCCTGTGCCACATTTAACATGATTGGAGCTGATCGCGTATGTCTCCATCCTCATATGGAAGCATGATCCGGCACAGTGCAGGTGCATTTTACAGAAGATGGAGGTCTGTGATGTAACTGGGCTTGCCTGAAGGCACTCAGACTGTTAGAGGCTCACATTTCCATCCAGAGCCCAGTCTCTAATCTCCCAGTTCAATCTCCCACCCCAGTCCCTTATTCCCAAAAAATACAACAGGAACCAGAACCAGAATCAAGTCTGTGTTTAATTATTATTCGTATATTTCACAGACAAAAGGAATGTAGCAAATGGGTCAGGGTTGTAGAAAACAAAATCCTGGATTTTACGTGTCATTCTGTTTTCATCTGACAGCAGGGCAGTCCCGACATCAGGCGCAGCAGCTGCACTTCTCTGATGCCCCTTTGCAGATACAGCCCTGGGCACACTTGGCACAGCCCAGGGGGCAGCAGGAGCAGCAGCCTGGGGAAAAGGGAGACAAAGGTCACAGCAGACTTGACCAGGGAGCTCCCTGTCCCAACAGCAGGCCTCACTCGAGATCAGACCCCAGCCCCCGGGGATCCTTAGTTCAAGATGACACGGCTGTGTAAGGAGACAACTGGTGGATGTTGGAATGAGTCTTCCTGTGAGAGACTGCCCAGCCCCACAGGAACCCTGGACAGAGCAGAATACTGGAAAGACAGTGCTGCTGCCTTTCGGGGCCAGAGGAAGGCCCATGGGGACAAGTGAAGGCCAGTTCCCCAGAAGCAGGCATTCAGGGCCATCCTTGGGTTCCCTCCCAACCTTAGCCACAGCCCCAGATTCCTGGAGATGGCCCCGCACTCACTCTTCTTGCAGGAGGTGCATTTGCACTCTTTGCACTTACAGGAGCCGGCGCAGGCGCAGGAGACACCTGCAAGGAAGAGAAAAAGCCAGTGAGTGGTGAATGAGATGCAAAAGGTACAGCAGTGGGTCAATGAGTGTCCAGTGCCCCCTCCTCTGTGCAGGGTCAGCCCTCAGAGCTCCTTTTCTACCCAGCAGAGGAAGACAGGCCCAATGTACTCTCCATTCATGCTGGGAAAACCAAGCACCCTCCATTTGTATTCCAAAGTAAGTCCCAGGCTTCAGGCACAGCCCGGGAAGACTGCGACTTCCACATTCTGTCCTGAACCCCGAAGAGGCAATGTCCCTTGCCTCCCATCCAATCCAGGTGCTCAGAGCCTGGTTAGATAATTGGGGCCCAGCCAGCAGCCTCGTAACCAACGGGGTGATGTGGAGCAGGACAGTCCTAAGCCTCAAGACCCTCAACTGTGACACAGAGGCACAGGGAGGAGGGTAAAGCTCTCAGGAGCTTCGGCAAGAGGAAAGCACTGGACGAAGTAAAGGAGTCCCCTCACCTCAGATCGCAAAATGCGACCTCCTCAAACCCAGGGACACTCTCCATGGTGTATGGGAATTTGGCATCCCAAGACAGAACCCAGGGCCCCTTACCAGCGGCGCAGGAACAGTTGGGGTCCATTGTAAGCCGAGGTGAGACTGGAGTTCCAAAGCGAGAAGTAAAGAGGCGGTGGAGCAGGTGGAAGGCGTGGTGCAGCTCCACAGCCAACGGCTCTTTTTAGAGTCGGGGAAGGGGCCGGGAGCAGAGACCCCGCCCCGCCCTTGCACTCACGCTGCTGAGTCCCAGCCGCCCTCGGTCCTGGGACAGTCTGCGCGCAGCAGAAGGGCCGGGCGCAAAGCACCCTGAGCGCAAGCAGGTCGGTGCGCACCGCCTGGCCGGCCCTTTCGCAGCGGCTCGCGAGGGAGGCGCTGTGCACCCGGGTGAGCTGCTTCTCTCACCCTGCCGGGCCTTCCTAGTTCCCCGAGATTACCTGCTACTCCCGCTCCTTGGCATTCCGCGTGCCCCGAGATCGTGACCTGCGCCCCACACCCCCGGGCCTGCCCACCCCCTTCTCAACAGCTAAGCCTTTCCTGGAGTTCCAGTGCAACCCCCGTCTCTTGTTCAACTGTCTGGATTGGCGGGAGGAGGGAGCATAGCAAGGGAGTAGTGTGCAAGGGACAGGCGGAGGATGCGATCTTGGGATCTCTGGCACTGCCTGTCCCTGTTCCCGTCCCCACCTCAGTTCTTCCACCACGTTTCTCCTGTGCACAGCAACACGGAAGACACAGGGCCCTGCCTCCCTCCCATCAAAGTATACTTATTCATATCCCTCTATGTCTCTGTTTTGCTTCCAGCACTGACCTTGATGCTTGATTTTGTTTAAAGATTTCAATCAGTGAAGAGATGAACATAGCTAGGCCATAGGGAAACTTCATCACTGACCTCTCTCCCTTGAGAAGCTGACAGGATTCATACCCAGCAGTGCCACTTCCCAGCCCTCTGACCCTGGGCTTGTGGCTTGAACTCCTTGTATTGTCATTGTCCAGATTAGGAATACGGGTTCATAAATAGAATGCATGTCCCTTTATGGTTGCTGTGAGGGTTTAAAGACAGAAAGTGACTAAACAAGACCAAACACAGATCCATGTAATGTAGAGTAATAGGAACATGAAAGGAAAAATAAAGCTCTCTTGCTTTCTAATTTAATGCAGGATCTTCATATCACCTTCAATGATCCCTCTTCTAGGGACATCCCACACTTTCAAAACTGCCATCCTGTAGTGGGGTACCCGGCTAAGCTGTGGGGAGACCCTGAAGAGATTTATGCAAAGGAGGACCTGGACAAATGTGGCCCATTCAGCCCCTCAAGAGTGGAGAATGGAAGAGAGAGAGGCAGAGCCCTGTGTATTCCCTGTTGCTGTGTAGAGGAGAAACGTGGCCAAAGGACTGAAGTAGGAACCGGGACAGGGAGGATAAGGCCAGAGATGTGAAGTTCGCAACCTTAATCCACCCTTTGCACACTAGTCCCTTACTATGTTCCTTGCTTTGGCAGATCCAGAAAGTGGAGTATAAGACTGGGGTTGCCCTTGACTCCAGGAAAGGCTTAGCAATTGACTAGAGACCTCGGCATTGGTGAAGTTTGGTGGAAAGCCAGAATACTTGGGTAGGCGGAACGCCAATGGGCGGATGTAGCAGGCAACCTAAGGAAAGCTGGGAAGGCCCGGCAGGGTGAGAGAAGCCTGCGCACGGGGGGCACAGCGCCTCCCTCGCGAGCCGGTGCGAAAGGGGCGGTCCCACGTTATGCACCAGCTGCTCTCAAGGGACCTTGCACTTGGCCCATTTCCTGCGCACAGCCCAGCCCAGGAACGCCCGCGGTATGGACTCAGCGGGGCGGGTGCAAGGGCGGGGAGGGGCGTTTGCGCCCGACCCACTGTCTTGACTATAAAAGCAGTCGCTGGCTGTTGAGCTTCACCACGCCTTCCACGTGCACCACTGCCTCTTCACTTCTCGCTTGGGAACTCCAGTCTCGCCTCGAGTTGCAATGGACCCCAACTGCTCCTGCTCCGCTGGTAAGGGGCGCCCGGGTTCTGTGTCTTGGAATGCCAAATCCCCAGACACCATGGAGAGTGTCCCTGGGTTTGAGGAGGTCGCATTTTGCGATCTGAGGTGAGGGGGACTCCTTTATTGGTCCAGTGCTTTCTTCTTGGCCAAGCTCCTGAGAGCATTTTCCTCCTCCCTGTACCTCTGTGTCAGAGTTGAGGGTCCTGAGGCTCAAGGCAGTCCTGCTCCACATCACCCCGTTGGTCACAGGGCTGCTGGCTGAGCCCCATTTCTCTAACCTGACTCTGAGCAACCAGATTGGAAAGGATACATCGCATGGGAGGGGACATTGCCTCTTCAGGGTTCAGGACAGAAAATCGAAGTCTCAGTCTTCCTGGGCCGTGTTCTAGAGTGGGACTTTCCTTTGGAGTATAAATAGGAGGGTGCTTGTTTTTCCTAGCATGAAGGGAGAGGACATGGGGCTTCTCTTCCTCTGCTCTAAGTGGGAAAGGAGCTCTGAGGGCTGGCCCTGCACAGAGAAGGGGGAACTGGACACTCATAGACCCACTGCTGTATCTTCTGCATCTCACTCACCACTCGCTGGCTTTTTCTCTTCCTTGCAGGTGACTCCTGCACCTGCGCCGACTCCTGCAAGTGCAAAGAGTGCACATGCCCCTCCTGCAAGAAGAGTGAGTGCGGGGCCATCTCCAGGAATCTGGGGCTGTGGCTAAGGTTGGGAGGGAACCCAAGGCTGGCCCTGAGTGCTTGCTTCTGGGGAACTGGCCTTCCTTTGTCCCTGTAGGCTGTCACTGCCTGTCTAGTCTTCTGCCCTCTCCAGGGCTTATGTGGGATGGGGCAGCTTTCTCAAAGGAAGACCCACTCCAATGTCCACCAGTTGTCTCCTGACAAAACCATGCCATCCTGAAATGATGGTCCTCTGGGGCTGGAGGGAGGGATGGAGATCGGCCTCTGTTGGGGCAGGGAGGTCTCTGGTGGAGTCTGCTCTGACCTCTCACTCTCCCTTCCTCCCCAGGCTGCTGCTCCTGCTGTCCTGTGGGCTGTGCCAAGTGTGCCCAGGGCTGCATCTGCAAAGGGGCCTTGGACAAGTGCAGCTGCTGTGCCTGATGTCAGGATGGCCCTACTCCAAAGTAAAAATAGAGTGACCCGTAAAATCCAGGATTTTTTTTTTTTTTAATAAATCTTGACCAATTTGCTACATTCATTTTTCTGTGAAATATGTGAATCATAATTAAACACTTAGACTTAATTCTGGTTCTGGTTCCTGTTGTGTTTTTTGGAACAAGGGATGGGGTGGGAGATTGAACTGGGAGTTTAGAGACTGGACTCTGGATGGAAATGTGAGCCCCTAGTGGTCTGAACGCCTTCAGGCAAGCCCCGTTAATTCACTGAGCTTTATCTTCTGTAAAATGTACCTGCACTGTGCCGGATCATATGAGGATGGGGACATACGTGATCAGCTCCAATCATGTTAAATGTGGCACAGGGACTTCTCCATTCCTCATGTTTATTCTCAGGTTTCCCTGACCAAGTTCAGTTCCTCAGCAGATTTTAGGCTTGAAAGTGACCACAGTGGGTGGATTCCAATGCCTGAGTTGCTTGAATCCTACACGGGGCTTCTCACACTCCATGGTGAAGAGACAGTTTTCATTTTCTATCCATCCCAGATCTACACCTTTGTAAATAAAGTAATATTAATTATGAAGATAATGAAACACAAAATATAGAACCCACTTGTTACATTTTACACACACAAAAAACTCAATAAATACACAAATAACAGAAAAATGGAAGATTTACAAACTCTGTACATATGTTCATAGATGATTTGCCTTGCAGACTGGAAACAGCAGACTGGTCCCACTGTGGACCACACACCTTCAGCAGCACAGGCCAGGACATTCTCATGAGGAACCATCAGGCTTGGCCTAGCCAGAGTCACAGACAGCACACTCAGGACACTCGCTGAACCCTGAGAGCTCCCTGTTGGGAGAAGGCTCTGAATCTTTGGAAGTTCCTCCCAAGTACAGGCTGAATTTTTTCCTCTTTCAAGCTCCAGCCTTGACTACTTCAAACCAGCATATTCCCGGCAAGATGTAGTGTGATCATGGGTTGCGGATGAAGTTATTTTGAAATGTTGCTTTTCATTTCATCGTCTCCATAATTAATATTAGTTTATTAACAGAAGTTCTCAGAACACAGCTATGGCAGATTGTGCAGCTGGCTGATTGTGGAGATGTTCCTTAGGAAGGAAACAGTCCCTGGATGTCTTGTTAATGACAAGTTAGTCCTTCCATTTGTGGGGGGGGATGCTATTTGATGTTCAATCAAAGAGGAAGATGAGTCTCCTTGCCTAGAAGTCAGGACCACACTTACCTGCTGCTTCCCTGTGAAGCGATTTCAGGAGGCAGCCTACACCTAGGGCATAGTTTTAGTTGCCAGGCAGTCCTAGTTCACAGCCCACTCCACCACTTACTGGCTGTGTGGTTTGGGCAAGTCACCCAAACTCTCTGAGCATCTAGTGCCTCATTTGTAGAAAGGAGATTATTCTCAATGCAGGGATTAAATGAGAGGGTGGGCCGGGCACAGTGGCTCATGCCTGTAATACCAGCACTTTGGGAGGCAGAGGTGGGAAGGTTGTTTGAGCCCAGGAGTTTGAGACAAGCCTGGGCAACTATGGAGAAACCCCGTCTCTACAAAAAATACAAAATTATATGGCTCTGGTGGCCTGTGTCTGTCTGAGCTACTCTGGAGGCTGAGATGGGAAGATGGCTTAAGTCCAGGATATAGAGGCTGCAGTCAGCCAAGATTGTGCCAGTGCACTGCAGGCTATGCAACAGAACGAGGCTCTGTCTCAAAAAAAAAAGGAAAAGAAAAAGAAAATGAGAGAGTGGCCTGGCAGCTGCCTAGGTTTTAATAAACAAAGGTGATTATGATCATTCTCTCTGCACTGACTTTCTTGGAATAAGATACCATTAAATCCTAACTTGCTCTTGAAGAAAGGCTCATTGGTTTGGAAGCATTGCTGTGGATGGGATGCTGTGGAGGGGTTGCATCCCCAGCTGATCCAGTGCCAGGAGGAGTGTGCATGTCCTCCTGCAGAAAGTCCTCTGTGATAAGATGCTGCCCCAACATTTGAACACACATAAAATCCTTTCCCATCCTTCATGTCATTTGACCTTCATGCAACCTGTTAAATGAAGGTCACAAGCTTCAGGACAGGGACAGAAAATATTCAGGGGCTGGCATGCTTAAATCGTCTTTCAGAGGAATAAAACAACCTGCCCAATGCCACACAGCTGAGAAGGAAAAGGATGAATGAACCTATGGTACGACTGGCCTCTGGCCCTCCCTACAGCTGGCAGATCATGCCATCCCTGAATGCCAAACCCTGCCCATCTTAGTTCAAAGCAATAAGGGACCTTGAAGATGAACAAATTTTGCTCTTCACTTGAGGGATAGGAACTGAAGCCCAGAGAGGTCATGGCTATACACAGCCATCTGACTGCAACTCAACGTGCTTCCAGGGCAGCCTCCCGGCCAGATGTTCAGCGTCCTCATCTTTGTGTTGACTTGGTGGCATAGAGCACGGGGTAAGGACATGATGCTGCAGTCAGCCTGCATGAGTGCAAATCCCACCTCTGTCACTTTGTGTGTGACGCAACCTCTGTGTTTCAGTCTCATCAACTGGAGTATAATAATATCTGGCTTGTAAAATTAAGGAGTTTGAGGGTCCTAGGTGGGAAGAGCGACAGGCAATGCGGTGGGGAGGGTGGGGAAGAAACCAAAGTCACCTCCATCCCGCACATCTGCGCACAGCTCACTTTCTCTGCTCCAGGCTCCCGCCAATGAAGAAAGAGAGCACGAGGGTGGAGCTGCACACGGACCCGGGAGAGGCAAAGCTGATGACGAAGGTGCGGGGCGGGGATGGGGAAAACGCTACCACCTGGGAATGTCACGTACCTCCAGGAGCACAGCCCCTACCACACGAGCGGGCACCAAAGGGGCGTCCCCCGGGGGCCCACCAGGCTGCATTCAGGGGATGGTGCGCCCGACTCGCCTGCTGCGCACATCACAACCCAGGACTGCAGGCGCAGGGGATTCCGCTTGGGGGTGGGGGAGGAGGTGCTCTGCACCGGGCCCCCTAACTATAATTTGAGCTCCCGGTTCCTAGAATCCACCACGCCTCCCACCTGCTCCACTCCTTCTGCGCCGCTCTCTTAGAAACTTCAGCTGCAACTCTCGAAATGTACCCCAAGTGCTCCTACTCCACTAGTAAGAGATGCGGGGTTTCCGGGCCTTAGGATCTCCATTTTCATTCCAGAGGATAGAATGTTCCCGGGGCAGGAGGGAGGTGCATTTTGAGCTCTTCCTAAAGCGGCCTCCTTTACTTTGCACTTCTAGTGCTTTCTCCCTGCCAAGCGCCTTCATCACCACTTAGAATGTTGTCATCTTCCCAGCGTCTCCCATTTCTGAGTCGAGAAGATTGAGGCTCAAACTGCCCTCCTCCGGGTCACCCAGATCGCCAGTAGGGTCCTGGGCTGGGACCCAGTGCTCTGTCCAGCATTAGAGTTGCTTGAGGTGGATGGGAGGCAGGAAGGATTCCTGACATAAGGCCATGTGGAGTAAAATTAGGAGGGCGCCTGCCCATCTGAGCTTGTGTGGAGAAAAGGTGGGGCTGGGCTTCCGTGTGCCTGAGCAGAACAAGGTACCAGGTTTCCCGTGCACTGAGCAGGAGCCTGCTGAAGGCCTGCTCCTAACCCTGCACCACACTCACTGCTCACTGCCTTTTTCTCTTCCTTGCAGGTGGGTCCTGCACCTGAGCCAGCTCAGAAGAAAGCAGCCATCTTGGCAAGCGGCCTGTAGTCCCAGCTACTCTGTGAGGCTTAGGCAGGAGAATTGCTGAGCCCGGGAGACAAAGGTTGCAGTGAGCCCAGATCCAGCCACTGCACTCCAGCCTGCCGATACCAGGGAGATTCACGTCCTCAAAAAAAAAAAAAAAAAAAAAAAAAATATATATATATATATATATATATATATACTATATATATATATCCCTCAATAGAGACGTGCTGACAACAGACCTAGGCCAAAGGAAGGCTTGATCATGGACACCTCTTGAGAGGCTGGCTAGACTCAAATCAGTGACAAGTTTTCAGCTCTGTGATGTGGAGCAACTTACTTAAACTTCTTGCTACAGTTGTCAGATTAGTAAAACGGGTTCATAAATAGTATTTCCCATTAGGATTGTTGGGAGTGTTCAAAGAATGAATGATTTAAAAAGGCCTGGCACATTTTAAATGTTACATGATAAGAACATTGAAGAGAAATACCGAGTTCTCTCCTTGATTGAAAGTAGAGTCTGCATGTCATCTAAAGTCATCCTCTTTGGAGGGTATTCCTCATTTTCAAAACTGCCATCCTGCAGTGGGGTGGCCAGCAGGGCTGGGGTAGTCCCGGAGAATTATATGTAAAGGAGGACGAGGACAAGTGTTCCCGCCATCACCTCAGAGGAGGAGCATGGAAGGAAGAGAAAGAGGCTGACCCGTGGTCGCCACGTTCTGTGTACCGGGGAAACGAGTTTGAGCGTCCTAGGTGGGAAGAAGGACAGACAATGAGAGGGGAGGGCGAGGGAGAAGCAAAAGTCACCTCCACAGTGGCTCATCATAGAGCTGCACACGGACCCGTCGAAGCCAATGGAGCGGCAAAGCTGATGGAGACGGTGCGCGGAAGGAGGAAGGGAAGTTGGGGATAGCGCGACCACCTGGGAATGGGAAACGACCCTCAGGATGACAGGGGCGAGGTCTACCTCTGGCAGCACAGCCCCTCCCGCAAGAGCAGGTCCCAAAGGGGCAGCCCCCGAGGGCCCACCAGGCTGCACTCAGGGGATGGTGCGCCCGACCCGCCTGCTGCGCCTGCGGCGCACAACTCAACCCAAGACCGCAGGCGCCACGGATTCCGCGTGGGGGTAGGGGAGGGGGTGCTCTGCACCCAGCCCCCTCCTCTAACTATAATTTGAACTCCCGGTTCCTGGAATTCACCAGGTCTCCCACCTACCCCACTGCTTCTTAGCCTCTCCCTTGGAACCCCAGCTTCACCTCACCTGGTCATGGACCCCAACTGCTCCTGCTCCACTAGTAAGAGATACCGAGTTTCGGGGCCTTAGGGTCTCCATTTTCATTCCAGAGGATAGAATGTCCCCGGGGCAGGAGGGAGGTGGATGGTAGCTCTTCCTAAAGTGAACTCCTTTACTT